CAGTTCTCGTTAACATTCCACGACAGTCGACACTTGCGACTTTGGGCTCAGCGTGCAATCCACTCACATTGGTTGACAGACTTCAGTTTCATGGTATCAAATGGCAGGGAAAACTGTCGATACGAGACTTGTACATCTCCTAGTTAATGAGGCACCAAAAACACGTCTCTCGTGTCCCGCCAGATTATGGATTAAGCGTTCAAAGAATTCGAGCCCCGGATTTTCCGTGTATGACGCCTCAATTGAGAATTTGGTCTTGATTTTGGTCACCAAAAGTTCTTTTTGTTTTAATGCTCTCCCGCGGCTATGTGAGCTTGAGGGACATCGTAGTCAGTTGTCTTAGCTTCAAAAAAAAACGGCTATTTTACTTTTCCCACCATTTCCTTGGATGTCTCCAAATGTTTGAATGAGATGACCTTATACTATACAGTGCATGTCCTGGGAAAGAAGCACTACAATACATAATGACAAACAACTTTATTATTCAACCCTATAGAGCTAAATAACTAGAGCTATAATTTGACCTTTGATACTGTGATTAGTGTGATACCGATGAGCGTAACACAGATGCCAGCGGTCAAATGCAAAACATCCCAGCGACCCTGTAATGTAAAAGCTATAATATATATCATTGTATGATCAAAACTATTACAATAAGTTTTCTAGCGCGCCAGAATAACGCGATATGTTTGTATTGAACACTATCGCTTGGATCGACAAACAATACGAGTATCCCAGAGAATTGCCGAGAAAAGAATAGTGAAGGATTTCTTCCCTGCTTGTACTTTTCTAATCTAGGACAGAGTATGATCTCTATGAAGTTTATAACGCTAGCTCATAGCAGTCTCTTTGCTCTGATGACCGTTACTATAACTACTGCTACCTGTAATAAGTAACAAAATAGCTAATGTTCAGCTGACGCATTTAGTGCTCTCTCCCCCACTATAATGGAGATCATGTTACGGTACAGAACATATAGAAGCATGGTTAGGCTGAAGTTCGAATTGCAGTTATTTTGATGACAGTGTGAAATCGCGTTTTGCCATGATGCCAGATAAATACCTCTGCTCTATACGGTCTCTCGCTGGCCAATGTTATATAATTGTAGTTGAAAGCTTACTTTAATTTCTTTGAATAACAGAATTGCCCAAACTGAGCACACGATGCCAGGTGCCTTCGCCAGAATCGGGTACGCGACTATCTGAAAGCTTTCGATTGTCTTCTTGACAAAGCGGCTGTCCATAATTTGCTCTGTTTTGACTAGTGACTAACTAGACAAACAGTGAAAAAAGCATGACTCGCTTTCATAACAACAAAATTGCTATAATGTTCTAAAATTTGTTTCTCCCTGATCCAATTTTCCATCCTGCCATCGCTCTATCACTATGGCACATAGAGTGAAAAGTGGAAAATATGCTCTGCTTTTCATCAAAGTTCAACACGGAAGACTTTCTGTCAACTCCTATCACACGTTCTCACATCACGTTTACTCCTCATTAGATGCAGCCTTTAAGTGTGGAGTTAAGCCTCACCTTTTGCTCAATTATGGTGGAAGGATTTTTACGACTACGCAACAAAAATGGGTGTTATTGCACTATCACCTCTGGGACCAACATGGAGAAGAAGATTTGTTTCGGTGAAACCGTTATAGCATAGACTTGAGAATGTCATGACTCGTTTGTTTTTCACTGCAGTTAGCCATACAACAGTTCCTGCTCGGATAAAAATGTATAGAGAGAGCTCCTTTACCTAAACGGAGATCGAACCCCTATCCCTTTTTTATAGGTATTGATGGCTCCAACGTTCGACATGACGTTCATTTTCAATGCCACTTAGTTTGTCTCACTACCCGCCGAAAGGAAGGAGTATCGAAATAACACCGCTGCCAAAAATAAGTATGACCGTTAAGTTACACATAAAACGAGTGGGAAGCACGACACTAACACTGCTTCCATGGCCAAAATCTAAGTTGGAAAATACGATTCCTTATAAAGCTAGACACCAGAAGTTTGAAATTCTGTAATGCTGGAGGATCAAGTAGAAACGAAAAATGAGAAATTCGTTAAAGGAAGAGACCATTATTAAGAATGAGTGTTTTGACAAGTATATGTCCAAATGAAGTACCACTTGGCCGCCAAAGAAGGAAGTCGCTTTCCGACGAGAGGGCGCTGGCTGTTGAGCAAAAGCGCTCGTCCCCCGCCGCTCCCCTATAAGCGATCCGCCCACTAGTTTAGTTGGTGATTTGGACGAGCTGTGTTGCCAGCAGCGGCACAAAAGCAACTCGACTGGAGCATGGATTGGCATGGTGCCACCAAACGCGTTGCGACAAACTCGTTCATACGCCCGCCTTCTTAGTCGCTGTACGTGTTTGGGCAAAGATCAACTGGCCGAAAAAGTGGATCCCGTTATGCGTTTCCTTGATTTTCTTGACTGATTGTCTTTTCCGTCATCAGCATCGTTCTTACGTCTTTGTGAGTAAAGGGAAGCATTATGTTCTACAGAATATCCTTGTACACGGCCGAGTCCTCAGCTGGATACAAAAATTGGGAAATCATCAGAGAATGTGGCACATCATCTACGATGTTGCTTCCAATCTATCTGAGTGCCAGATTATGAGCGAAATCCAGTGCAAATGGGTATCAATTTACGGCTCTCGATGAAAAGCAGCTAAGCTCGAATTGAAGAGAGCGGGAAGTATGAAAAGCACAGCATTAAACATCCTCGAGTACCCATAATGCAGAAATAAAAGAAGAAGAAGTGTCAGAAACTTTGAAACAAGGAATAGCTTTAACTTACCGGATCAAGGTGCTGGTTCGCTGAAAAAAAGAAGAATGTTGCGGTTCCGTACATCAAACCCGATGATAAAGAAGGAACAGTAAGTTCAGGATTGATGAATGGTCTATTTCTTCTGAAAAATCCTGGACAATGATCGAGATTCTTGATCGAATCGAGATTGATTAAATCGAAAGAGACACATCATACAAACCTGTATAATGAATAACACGTGAAGATTGTTGTTGACGTAACCAGTGCTCCTATACAGAAAGAAAAGAAAAATGTTGAATAAGTGAGCGAATCACCCGAAGTTTCCGCTCTGCATAATCAAATAGTTCATCGGCGTCATCATGTTTCCGTAAAGGCAACCAGTGACTATGGTGAGAAGAATGGCACTGCAATGTAATTGAGATTTTGAAAACGAGAACGTTTATTATGCCGAAGTGCTGCAGAACAGCGGTTGCTGCCGCTGCTCTCAGAATTCCATAGTTCACAAGCTTCATTCAACATTGAGAGCTAATGAACTGCAAATTTTGTAGGCTACACCCCTGGATGACTAGCGACGTATGAATCCTGCTGGTGAGTAGAGTAGAGCTGTAACGAATACAGCAGATGTCTCTTTTATCCTATAACGTGTGCAACACGGACGTGGAGCTTTGCCAGAACCACCTCAACCGCTGCTGTTTTGCTCTTGTTCGCGGCATGCTGTGCTCATCTATCACTCCCGCCTTTCTCTCTCTCTTCCGTACTCGCTCTTTCATCGCCTTAATATAGCAACATCAGACAGCTGGTTAGCTCTCAACATTAGCGTTTTCGGCAGATGTTCACTTCCGGTCTTTTTCCTGTTACTACCAGCTCATCGTACCAATGTGTTTCACTTTCATATGCAGAAATTACACCATTTCAATTCCTGGAGCTGCCTTCAAATTTTGACCTGGTGTCCTTTATTCAATGTTTTTTTATATTCTGTCTACCTCTCAGTGGAGAATATTATAGAGAATAGGAAGAATAGAAAATGCTAACTTACGTTATTCTTGTTGATGTGGGAACCGTCCTTTCTTGTTCGGGCTTTGACGTGTTGCCATCTCGCATTAGCTAAAAAATTTGCGAAAATAACAAATGGGATAGAGTACTACACCGTAAATTTCCTCTGAATATGCTGAAATCAGATGTGAAACCATTCCATGATATTTCTTGTTTATCTGCAATTTTCGACAGAAAACTGTACGAGACACAACTCGGAACAAGCTTCGTTCCATGAACTTCTCCTGGCTCCGACCCCGTTGTTTGCAATCCATGAGATGAGCCTTCAGGGACTGTTTCTTTATTTCATTTTTTCGTCACTCGGAGCTTCCAAGCACATGTCTTCTTTGACCATACGCAGCACATTAAAGGCGGAAGTTGGGCCCAATATGGGATATTCTGGCGAGCTGAGCTGAGTATGGAGATGCAAAATGGAACAACAGTGAAGAAAAAACGAAAAGAAACCTGTCGACAAGGCCGAAAACGAAACCTGCTTTCCCACTAGCAGTGAAGGAGGCTTGCTTGGGAGGAGCCACGTCCAAACGAGTTTTCCGGATATGCCAGCCGTTCCATCAGTTACCGGTTGATACGGTAATCAACCTAGCTGATCCACACGTTATGCCAGCCACGCACCACATCCCGCGGTGGGCGGGCCTAGCTGATGCAACGAAGCCATCGCTGCAAGTAGTAGGTCAGAGGCCATGTCGCGCGCAATCTCGAGTCAGGAGCGTGGCGTCACCCCTCTGAGCGCGGGCCTAGCCATAGTAGTGATGGAAAGGCCTTCTCTAGAACCCGCTTAATTCTGACTTGTGGCTTTAACATGAGAAGAAATGATAGCTCGGGGCTTCCTTTTAATAGACCTGGTCGCATTCAATCTTCACGACTATCGCTATCAAAAATGTGGTATGATGGTCTACGACAGAAGTACCAGCACCTGAACAGATCTCATGAGAGAATCTCCTATTTGGGAAATATAAATATTATGAATAAAAATTAAAGTAAAAAATATTGCACACCTAGGATACATAACCTTTCATGAAACTCGAAAAAAAGAAAGGAAACGGCGGAAACAAATCATCTTCATTCTATTGAAAGCCAAAAAGATAAAAGATCCCACCGACAATTGCCAAGGAGCAGGCCGAGGCGTCATTGGATGGTGCTTGATCGTTGCAAAGAAACATCCTCTAAAGATCACATACACTTTTGCGCTTCCTGCTATGCTTATGAAAACGTGGGAGTATTGGCAGTCTCTTAGCTCGCGGAGGTGTTTTTGTGTTCCGCTCAAATGTCCCGCGCTTGTATTCTAGGCATTCTGAACAATGCACAAAAATATCTACGGTTGACGCTATGATGCATACGTTCCACAGACACCATTTATAACATTTAATTCTACTTTGGCATGGGCTTCATGTCGCTTCAATGATAGTTGTTCCCGATTTCTTTCCTCCCCTTTACTTTCTAGCGGAATCACGTGCGAAATTTGTATCAACTGGACGATTTCAGTGTCGTTTAAATGGCTCAAGCAAGATTTTCAAAGTGGTTCTTAAGACGAGCGAAGGGTCGTGCTCGAGCAGAATTCGAACATCAAAAAACAAGCCGGAGAATAGCATCAAAATTCGAAAATCAACATCCACCAAGATCGGCCAAAAGATTTCAGGAACAATTGACATCCTTCTATGGAAGGGATCGCTCCGTCAAAAGCAGAAAGCATTAAAAGGGTGAATTTGAGGTCGAAAATGGATGTTCCCAGATTTTCTTCTAGGATTGTGACATAAACTCAAGCGTAAATGGCAAGTTTTCGAACTCATAGAAAAAACAACTGCTTCTTGCGATCAAAACATTGAAGGGAGAGATCTATTTGTGACTGTTCTGTTTACTTTGCAAAATATATGTATGCACTCACCCAATACATACGACGACGACTCCGATGATATTCATTACATTATCATAAGGCACTTTTTTGAGGCTCCCGAATAATCCAAATCGGGATACAGCCCAGCCAATGATGCATGTTACTGTATTCCACAGTAACGAACCGACGGCCATGCCTATTCCATCCATTATTGTAATAGTGAGCGCATTTCCTTCAAAGAGCTCAATTAACGACAAACCATAATCTTCATGATACATCTTTGCAATACTTCAGAGGTCGTTTTAGTATCTGATGAAGTCTGTGCTCTCATCTTCCCGAATACTAAGCCTTAGGCTGTCCAATTACAGTGTCGTTTTTTTAAATGGGAATTCTTATGAGAGGATACTTAAAGTTTCCTAAACGGCCAGTCTATAGGTCGGCTACTAGGTCAAGTTGACTTTGCCTTCGTCCGCACCCAAAATTATTGATTATGGATTACGTGGAAGCGCAGAGCGAACGGAAGAAGGGGAGTTCGTGGAAGGTGTTGAGAGTGCAGGCAGCCAGAAAGCCACAGGAGCTATCGATAGTATTGACAACTTTCTACCAATAAGGTGATCAGCTGTCTCCTGCAGTGTTTCACTTATTGATCGTGTTATAGCTCCTTCCTTGGTCCTGGGAGCATTTCACTCTGTACAGTATATTAACCAAGATCCCACGGTTCAAACACGTCGATTGGCGCAAAGGGTTCGTTCATGTTGACATTGGGTCGATCACGGGATCATTTATCCGTGACGTTCGGAATTTTGAAATCCTCACCACCATAACTCAATTTGAAATTGGTTGCTTTTTCACCGCAAATTCTGTCTTCAAAGAGAACGACCAGCATTCGGAATGCCTTGACATCTACAACAGAAAGCCTGCTTACGACCAGAGAAAGGTATCTACTCAGAACTCAGACCGCTACAAAAGTTACAAAGATTTCGCAGAAAATTTTGCACTTGAAAAAAGGACAACTATAAGTGCAGCAAGAGGACGGATTATTACGATGAGCTGTGTGAGCTTTTTGGCTTTCTCAAAATAATCAAAACCTAAAACTTCTCTTTGGTCAAAGACACCTTGACACTATCTTATCATTCCAGAAGCACTGCTCGGCAGGCCCTCATGACACTAGCTAAGATGGGTGTCGCGTCTAGCTTCTCCGCTCTCTTCGCCCTTCTGTTCTCCTTGCCTTTTTCTCATCTCGGTACCGAGCAGGGTCAACCGTCACGTTCGAACATTTTCGGGATTTTTGCGACCCCCTAGCTCTCGAGGGGGTCCAGTTGCGACCCCCTGTTTTTGTTAATAAGAGTGCTAGACATGAATCCGTTGCGCCAGAAAGAAGCGTCTGCGTTGCGGCGTCAGCCTTGGAGCGCGGCAGGTATCACCCGGGCGCTGGAAGAACGGGACGCGGCGAAGAAAAAATTTTAGAGGGGAATAACTTTCTTGGGACGTATTTTTTGACTTGTTGAGGTAGATTTTGATTGTGCCTGAGGTGCGCTTTCAGAAAACTACAAGGATTGCCTAACTCTCCGGAAAGTACTGGAAAACCCAAAATTCTAAGAAGGCGCACCTTCAACTTTGAAGGCCCATAAAATCTTTCGTATGCGACATTTTGGAAAGCTGTAAAAAGTTTCAGAAACTTCAAATATTTCTCTATCAAAACAGTATAAAAAGTTTAGTGATTGTCCCCTTTTTCAAAAAATTGTCCCGTTCGAACATTTTTCGTGCAAAAGCGAGTTTTTGGGCTTTCAGCGGCCATAACTCACTTCATTTTCATTTCTGTGATGCACTTTTTTCATGGGGTGAAAGTACAGGATTTGCTCTTTCTAACAAGCACCAAACCGTTTTTCAAAGTTCATTTTCGAGAAAATCACACGTTCGAACATTTTTTCCCATAGGTTTTTGAGCAGCACATGCGAGTTTTTGA